GAAATCATGATTTAGAATATATATATATATATATACACCATGGTTTGGTTCAGATCGTGTGAGACCAGAACAACGGTCTGGTTTTGGTTGGTGGTATTTTCTTTAATTTGTGATTTTAAGTGGTTTGAACCGTGATAAACCGCAAATAAACCATGACAGAATATCGTTACCCACTATCCACTAAAACCAAACAAAAAAATTAACACAAAATCTCCGTTATTTCTGTATTTTGAAGAACAGGCCGCGAGACTGATCAATCAGACTATGTCGCGAGAAAGCAACAACCTGATCATCATCATCCTGTTATAGATTTCCCCTACAGCAGGCACACAATAAATTTACTGGTTTTTGATTCGGCGAAAAATCAACAGACTTCTCTCAAGCAATCTCTTCTGTGTTATTTCCTAATGAAAGAACCACGCAAAGACAGTTTCAAGATGAGAAAATCATCTCCTCCCATCATTGTCTGGACCAAGGTTGTTAAACCCCGATTGGACCCGGTCCGATCTAAATCGGGTTTCAAAACGGCCTCCATTAATTAAGCCCCCGGTCTGACCCCTAAAGAGGGAGAAGAAGAGGAACGAAGAAAGGGAGATGGTGGGTGGGTCATGGAGGTTAGATAAATTTATTTGTGGATAATAAGTTTTTAATAGATACATGTAAGATATATTTTATTTTAGTCATTAAATCTTTAATCACCCCCTTATTTTTATATATATTTAGAAAATGACTAAAACGGCTCTAACTGGCCGGACCTCAATCAGACCATTAAACTTCAAACCCCTTGCTTGACCGGGTCAATAACTTAAATCGATTTGACAACCTTAATCTGGACTGTTGGATTGATAGTATAGAATTACATGACAAAACAAACTTTCTACTGCTTTTACACCAAATTCTTCATTGTTTCTCTTAATGTATGTTCTGTGGTTAAATAGTATATAAGTTATCCCAATTCCAATCAACTTCCACAATTGTTCATTTGAGGTTCCCATCCAGGGTGTCGAGCCGATTAAAGGACGCCCCTAAGCAAGGGCTATTAATATTCTTTCCTTCTTCGTCTGACCCTCAACCCTCTACGATGTTCGTTGCTTCACGAAAGTGTCGCAAACTAATGCACTAGAAGCATAGATCAATTGACTTTATCATATGTTATCCATTATAATAATCGGGTGCGATTAGGAGTTGACTTTCTCAATCAGAATGCAGCGTGAATTCGTGCATAGTGATCCATACCAAAAGTCAAACCGCAGAGCAATTAGACCGAGTTTGGGGTAGTTTGGAGTACAAACGAAAAAGGAAAAATAACATCAAACTAGAAACATTTAGATTGATATTACCACATCATTAGATGAATCACTTATTCACCAACGAAGGTCGCCAATTTTTATAAGGAAGAAGCAATTCCTACGTATGGTTGAAATCGCAAGCTTTATTTACTTTCCCCTTACGTAAAGCAAGTCGATGCATATATATGTCCCATATTAATAAGGAAGTTACTCCTTTCAGTAGGGCGCCCTCCAACTTGGAAGACTAAAATGGGCTCAAGGGTTGCTATAACAAGTTGATATGAGAGTCCCAACTCCTACGTTTGAGGCCACTTTAAACACATACCTGGTTTACACGTCAGTTAAATAAGTAGGAAAAGAAACACCAAAAAAAAAAAAAAATAGTTCAATGCATTAGGCAGAGGGTTTGGTGCATGTGAAATTACTATAACGCTAAGAATATGTTTGTTTTGATCTATCGAATAGTTAGAAGACGTTCACAAATAGATTATGTAACATTCATTTTACACACAATCTCAACGGAAATTTAATTCATGAGTTTGAAGTTTACATGAGCACGTGAAAACTTACATTGATTGTTAATATAAGATTAGTCAATATTCGAATACAAAACCTCTCAATAATAATTAAAACCTTTCATCTCAAATCGTAGAACTAAGTCATTCAAATAATTGGTAAAAGAGGTTAAAGTTTAGTTACAAGAAAGATCTACTAAACCCAATAAACCCCTAATCTAACAAGTTTAAAGACTTTTGAATATTAGATAGATTACCCAAACCCCTCCTTCAAGGAGACGTCAGTTCAGATTCCTACCCTTCAGCTATAAGAGAAAAAAATTCACCTAATTTATTGGAAGCTTTGACTTCAATTACGAGTTTGGAAGGGCAGCAAATTAGAAGAAGCTTCCTCCCTCCATTTGACTTCTACAATGGAGGCTTTGTTTATATTATTATCAATCATCTTACTGCTATTTTACTGGACGAATGACCAACTCGAAACTTGGTTTCTGTACAAATACGAATTAGACGTTTCTTCACAATTAAAAGTAAGTATTTATCGAATGACGTCTACATATATGTAACTTGGATGTATATATATATGGTGGAACAACTTGGTGGATCAATGAAAGCACAATTTTTTTTTTTTTGTCGATTCACCTTCTTGAGACCCATCTTCCAAATTCAATTTGAGACCATACAAAATATATATTCTCAGTTTTTCTTGTTCTATCAGTGCTTCTTCCCCTTTGAGATTGACCATAAATTTCTGGCCACGAACAGAAATAGGATAAGAAAGAAGAGGTCAAGCAGCAGAACCTAATTTTTCTGTATAATTTATCAGCGGCGTGGGGATGGACGAAAACCAGATAATGAGTGGAATTTATTTATAAAAATAAAAGAACCACAAACTCAAAAAAAAAAAAAAAAGGTTATATATGGAGTTGACCTTATTCACAAATGTCAATTCTGAATTCGGATAACAAATATAAAAAAAAGGAAATTGTTGCTGGTGAGGGAGAGACGTGGCACACCCTAATGCCACTTCCTCCCTAATAATAAGTGATCAATTATCAGCTTCTTTGCTTTGCTTTGTTTAGTTGGTCAATATTCATCTTTGTTTTGCCCCACAAAAACAAATATTCGTATTAGGTCTCATCATCAATGGGGCTTTCTCATAATAACTAAACAATCATATACATTCCATCACAACTATGAATATAATGAAAATTTAATTACATGAATCAAAATAATACAATTCCATATACTTAACGGTAAGAAAGAACTCTGAAAATATGTAGCTAAAGCACAAACGATACTCTTTAGGATAAAGAGTTGAAACATGCATGTTGTCAAACTCTTATCGCTAAGCTCGACAAGAAGGGGCCATTATGCTCCAAATTGGCTGACTTTATCAGAAAATCAAAGAACATGCGAACTGAATTCGGAGATGTAAAAAGATAGACATTTTACTAGTAGAAGCTGAAATGAACCCCGTATTATGATACACACTCTGCATATTTGATTTCTAAGAACTATGAATAAATAGACTTCTCGTTTTCCTTATCCGTTAATTGCAAATTTTACTAAACGAAACAATGATAACACACCTATAAAATGGATAAAAAAAAAATAGTAGCATCCACTTTCCAATTCATCATACCAAACTCACCTAAGATAACTTAATTTTTTTGTAAGATAAGTATGGCAGCTTATGCTGTCACCAGCCTATTTAGTTACAAAAGAGCAGCTAGCACTTAAACCAATAGATTAGTGGCAGTCATGAGAGCACCACCACAACCACTCCCATGGAGATTGGGACATTGTTTTTGGGGAGGATGATGATTGATGAGGTTGGCTGTTGCACTGCCATTATTGCTGGGGGAGTTTTAAGGTAGTGTCAACTGAGTGGTCTATCATCATTATCTGAAATTATTATATGCAAAAGTCAAATTGCTCAAAGTTTAACCTACCTAATTTTAGGGAGATTTTACATCATTTCAAGCACACTCCGAAAAATACAATTCAAGAGAGTATTACAGATAAATTTTGCAACTTTCTCTTCGGATGATCCAATCGACTACACATTTAGTGGTAATTTATCTCAATGTCATTTGTTGACCGCTCGATTATGACCAAGAGCAAGGTTCAAGAACGTGCTAGGCCTAAGGCAGCAGCAGTTTTGGGTCTTACCTAGCGCCTAGTCCCACTTAGACGACATGATGGATAAAATAACAATCTAAAATACTTCCCCACTTCAATTCGCTTGATTAATAGCTTACTTACCCGTTAACAACAATAAAAATAGATCACAAGTTTATATATGAAATTCATAGCTCAATAGCTCACAAAATTTTGATCTATTGAAAGGATTGAGATAGAAGATTGAGTTTGTAGATGGTTAATTTCCTCTAATATTGAATGCATAGCTCTATTTAATTATGCATAGACAGCATCTAGGTGTCGCCTTACGTTGTTGTTGCATTCTGATTCTAGATATCTAACTTCCTACAGAATCGCTAGACAATGCATTTTGACGTTGCCTAGCGTCAAAGTGTGCCTAACCATAAATTTTTAAGAGTGACTTTTTAAACAATCATAGAGAGGATTAATAAAGATTACCACCTATTAGGCTCTAGCTTTGTTGGAAAAAGAAATTCCTATAGTGTGTTTGCTTCCCTGCTCTGCCACCAAATTAAAACATGCACAACTGCACAAGCAATCAGATTATAACCACCACCATCTAAACAAGTTTACTTCCTTCCATAAGTAATTACTATTTCCCTCCTTCCAGCTTCATTTCACACCAATCCACCTGAAAATCAATGTCATTACCTACATCTTGACAGACACATATGCTTATTCAATTCAAGAATTTCGATCTTTCAAGGCCAGACAGCATGTTTGGTGACACAAACAACCTGTTACTTGGTCGGCCTTCCAACCTTAAACCCTCCAAAGACAGAAGGCAAAGAAACCTGAACAAGTCAACTCCCCTACAAGGCATGAGAACATTGCAGAAGTTTTCTAACATCTGGTTCAACAAATTGACAGCAAACTGTTCATAACTTTGAGGTATGCAGAACATCTAGTTGTTGAACAACAATTCCAAATACTAGAGCGTTCTAGAGGTGATCCATCTAATTAGAAAGGGGGAAACCAATAAGGTTGAGAAGGAAACATGACAGATTCAAAGAGCTAGAGAAAATTGAAAAGGGCAGAGATTTTAATTCCAGAACCTGCATTTCAATATCTCACTCATTATGATCGTAACCATGAAACGAAATGGGACAATTTCTGTGTGTACAGAGTACAGCCACTAGTGGTCTAAGAGGCACGCCTCAAATGAGTTTGTGATACCACACGGGATAAGCAAATACAAACAACAGAAACTACAAAGGATTTCAAGTAAAACGCTTTTCTTACATTCGCCAAAGTTACAGTAGAGTAAGCAGCTAACGGTGTTCTGGAGGCACACCGTTAGTCTTCGCCAGGTCCATCTTGCAACTCTCTCGCAAATCTTTCAGCGCAAGGAAGTTCTTTTCCTGCAGAAGAAGCCAGCGGATTAATGAGACACAAAGAATGTGTCAAAATTTGCTTAATGAACGAACAATGGCAAGTGAACTTGTAGTTATGGCTTAGACATGGCTGAAATGGATAACTGCAAGCCAAGCCTTTTGATGTGTCTAATCACAAGACATGCAGCAGATTCGAATCGTCAAGACTAGACATGCAAGTTTAACATAGAAATGAGAGTCGTTACTAACAATCTGGCAGCTTTCATGAGCAAATATATCCTCCATGTGCTGAAAGAGTGATCTCCATTGCGAAGTCAAGTCAGTCTCGAACTGAAGTGAGTTGCTAGCGTTTCCTTGATTGGGAATTTCAGCCTGCCTTCCCCTGGAAAATTTGTTCACCAAGATGCTAGCTTCTTTCTGACTCTTCTTCAATGCTAAACAAGCAGCAAGAAACGAAATGAATGAAAAGAAAAAAGATCCGTTTTCAAATGAAAAGGTCATGCATGACAGTAAGAATTCGTTATTATTCTACAAAAGCTTACAAGATAATCGACCCTTGATGTCTTGGTAGTGGAGGTCAGACCACATAAAAGCAGCTGATGATTACACATAACAAAAGCTTGCTTGCATCAGTACCATATACGAGAGCCAATATTGTGCGTTATCAATTAAGTAAATTTCCAAAAATGTGAGAGCTAGTACAGACCTGTCAAACAAAATGAACAAGAACAGGTTTTCATGAAGTCAGCACCCAAGTCTGCATTAGCACAGGCACCTCCACTGCTTTCTTCAAACCTTGTGCATCTATCCAACTGAAAGGATTTCGAATTCTGGGAACTGTGCAACATTGAGCTCTCAGGAAGCTCAGTTTTCTCACCTTCCAAACCATCAACACTAGGATCTCTGCTCTCACTAGTCAAACCTTGACTGCCGCCAAGCTCCTCAGCAACTGATTGGCTCAGTGACACATTGTAAGAGACCCTTACATCATCATCACTATCAGTCCTGCTAGATCCACAGCTATCTCTTGACCCATCTCCAATTTCTCCCACACCTTTCTCAACCACATCAACATTACCATCTAAGAGGTTAGATTCTTCTTTGGTTTCACTTGGGTGTCCATCTGAGATCAAGGAAACTACTTTCTCAACTCCATCGCCACTTCCGATATCACTAGCAATAGGGTTCGAATCGTGACCCTGCCCGTCTTTCTGGAGATGCAGAATACCCTTCCCCCTACTGTCAGCTGTAGTCTTAAACCCAGATTCGCACTTCTCCCTGACCAAATTCTCCACTCCTAGACACACCTGCTTCGCAAAACCAGAAATCTCTAAACTTTCGACACCTTTCAACCCTGAATCGCCATAGATCGACGAAAACCCTCTCTTCAGTGGCTGATTCGTCACATCCCCTAGGGCTTGGCGCGGCTTAGAAACCCCACCGGTGATATTTTCCCCCGCCATCGTTAATCCTAAGTTCCTAACAAATGAAATCAACTAAGTCAAAACCCAAGAGACCCAACTCCGGAATCAACAACAAATCGAAAACCCAGCTCACCGATTCAAGGAAAGGAAACAAGGAAATGGGGAATCTACTCACAGATCTGGGAGACGGCTGTATAAGAGCAAAAGGAAGGCCGAGGAGGGAAGCGGATCAACTGGCGCTCTGTTTATCCTTTGCGGATGGATGGAGATGGCGTTCGGAAGTATCAGTACCAGCTTGATTTTTGCTGCCGAGGTCTGCAATTTTGGCGAGTAAAACCGGAGATTGATGTTCAAATTTTTGTGGGGGCGGGAAGGAAAATATTGGGGGAAAGAATCTCGCGTGCCAGAACCGCGGGCGTATATATATTCCCGCCGCACCACCCCAAGTCTACCAGTTGGGCTTGAGGATGGGCCTAGGACTCCAGCCTAGTGTTAGGCCCATTTAAGAATGAATACGAACTACAGAGTCCAGACTCTTATACTTTTAGCCCATGAGGAGGTTTGTAAGTTGTAACCCAAGTCCCTTGATTACGCTCGTGATAAGCTGATAGCTCGTGATAATTCCCGCCGAACATCATATCAAATTTCACTTCAAATCCAATGTAATTAAGTTGAAAACACATAACATCATATATTTTACTGAATCGCTATTCGTCGCCCTAAAATTCAATTTTTGTCGCCCTAAAATGCACCAAATTGACAATTTTACCCTCTGATCCCAATCTCTAACCAAAACCCTAATCAAACAATCCGTTACCCTGCCAGACACCGCCAACCTCAACCCCGCCGTTGTCGTTGTGGATTCTTCTCTCCGGCAGCCGCCACCAACTTCAATCCTCGCAGCATGTCCGTTCCCATGGTAAATCGGGCGGCAACGATGATGGGCGACGTCAGAAGCAGAGGACGGCTGCAGCTACGACTCGGACTCGGCCTCGTCGGCTGGGCAGAGAACGGAAGTAGAGGTCGGCGGCTACGACGAGCGAACTTCTTCTTCGGCGCCAACGACGAGCGAAGGCAGACTCAACTTCTCCTTTCTCCTCGGCTCGGCCTTCATCTTCTGTCTCGCCTCGCACTCGCCGGGCAAAGAGTTTTTTTTTTTTTTTGTTTCCAGCCGCCCGGAAGGGTTGAAAACCCATCTCCGGCGCTTCTAGCGGCGAGTACGAACATGCCTGAGCTCTTTACAATTTTTTCATTTTTTTGGTGTATTTGTAACTTGTAATTCATTAATTTATTTTTTTCGCTATTTTATTTTGTTAAACATAGTTGTATGTGTTTGATTCTTTGTTTAGTGTTTATATATGTTTTGAAAGATAAGAATTAAGCTAAGGATATTTAAGTAATTTTAATAAAAGTTAGGGCGACGAATAAGGTATTTTAGGGCGACGAATAGCAATGCCCATATTTTAAGGGTAATTAGCATAAATGGTCACAAACCTTTGCACTTAGTACAAAATAGTCACAAATCTTTAATTTGTAACCATTTGATAACAAAACTTTTTTACTTAGAACAAAACGGTCACAAATTAAACAGTGTGACCATTTCATACCAGTTCAAACTTTTGTTACTGTGTCGTTGCAAATTAGACTTTTGGTGACCGTTTTGTACAAATTAAGTTCAAAAGTTTGAACGCTCAATCACCGTTACAATTCACTCTAGTTGTATGGTGGTTTTGTTAATGTATGTGAATGATATTATGTTGTTTAGGATGACAATGAGAGAACTCAATGGCTCACAAACAGGTTCCAGACTGCTTTTTAGTTGAAAAAACTATGTTTACTTTCTTACTTTCTTGGTATCGAAATTGAAAGGTCAACTGAGGGCATTCTTATTCGGCAAAGCAAATATGCTGATGCACACATGACCTGACATCTTATATGTCGTTCAAGTGGTTAGTGTCATATACTTAACGAACAAACTACCCAACCTCAAAACATGACCAACATTTAATTTGTAACGATTCGGTAACAAACCTTTGAACTTAAAACAAAACGGTCATAAATTAAATAGCGGTGACCATTTTATACAATTTCAAAGTTTTGTTACCATATTGTTACAAATAAAAGGTTTGTGACCATTTTGTACTAAGTGCAAAGGTTTGTTACCATTTATGCTAATTACCCTATATTTTAAACTATCCATATAGATTACATGAGATCTTATCTTTGTGAAGTTTTGGATTAAGAGACACATAAATGTATTGGTGAAATTGAAAAGGTAAAATTAAAAAATATTTAATTATGTCCTTATCGTCAAGAACCAGTTGGTCCAATAACCCGAGTTGTTGGGAGAGGTTCATTAATAGTTCTTATACCATTCACTAACACATCCCCACAAACGGAAGCCAACTCACAGGCTTGAAGTTTGCACAGACCTGCCATACATTGTACTTTAATCAACTGTTAATATTGGAGGTCGTGGAGATTCAAACACACGACCACTTAGCCAAACCAGCTCTGATACCATGTCAAGAACTAGTTGGTCCCAATAACTCGAGTTGTTGAAAGAAGTTCAATAATGTATCATATACCACTTAGTGATGACAATTTCAACCCGCCTTGTGGGTATTACCCGACTCGACCAGCGATGGGGCGGGTATATAACCGACCCGTAGTAGCGTGGGGCGGGATATGGTATCTACTTTCGACCTGCCCTGCCCCGCCCCGTTTTAGATCCATTTTATCCTAATTTTTTTACAGTATCTATACATATTTCTCCTATTTTGACTTTTCTTCAACTAGTTAGAATCGATCTTTCAACTTGTCATACTCAATTACCCTTTATATTATCACTATTTTTATTCATTAAGTGTTTTTTCCTTCGTTTTATCGTAAAAAGTAAAATTGATGTATATTTTTTTCAAAGAACCTGTAAAAATGGATCGATCGCCCCACCGCGTACTCGCAAAGGTTTTGCCTCTCTCGCCCCATAATAGCGTGAGTAGAGGTGGCAAATGGATTGATCCATGGATTGGATCAAGTGGATTGGTGGATTATCCCTGAATCCAAATAACATCCTCAACCAAGGACAAATATGTAAAATGTGAAACGTTTAGGTACTAAAATGTCATTAAGAAAAATTTTAGGTACCAAAACATAATTTTCCAATGATATTTTCGTATAAAAATTAAATTTTGGGTACCAAAATGTAAAATATAAAAAGTATATGTACCAAACAGTAATTTGCCATTCGGATCCATGGATCAATCCATAAATCCACCAATCCAATTGAATTTGGATCAAATGGATTGGATTTAAATGAATGGGATTATGTGAATATTTTTAATGAATTGTTGGATTGGATTGAGAATTGCCACCTCTATGCGTGGGATAGGGCATGGGCATGGGAATTAAGGTAACCGCCCGCCCTGCCCCATTGCCATCTAATAGACTAATACCACTCACTAACTCTTCGCCGACGACACCTTGATCTTCTGCGAAGCTTCATACGAACACGTCTTGATCGTGCTCTCCACACTCGTTTGCTTCGAGGCGGTAACAGGTCTCAGAATCAACCTTGAGAAATCTGTGATGTTCACCGTGGGGGATGTTCCAAACCCGGATTATTTTGCCTCGCTCTTCAGATGCAGATGTAGTGACCAGCCATCTAAGTATCTTGGTTTTCCACTCGGGGCCAAATTGAACGCGGTTTCTACTTGGGACCCCATCATTCAGAAGTACATGGACAGGTTACAAGGTTGAAAGAGTCGGTTCTTATCCATGGGCGGCAGGCTCGTTCTGAATCAAGCCGTGTTAGCAAGTCAATCCGTTTACTACTTCTCAATTCTCAAAGCACCGAAGACAGTCATTAAAACAATGGAGGGCATCCAAAGGAGGTTTATTTGGAGCGGGACTGCAGAAGAGAGAAAGAGCCCCCTGGTTAATTGGGATCTTTGCAAGGCTCCTAAATCTAGAGGCGGGCTAGGCATCTTTGACCTGTCGAGTTTCAATAGCGCTATGCTCTCTAAATGGCACTGGCGCTTTGCTACAGAGATCAGCAACTGGTGGAGAGAGCTCATCAATATTAAATACGCGAACCCTCACTCGTGTTGGCATACTGGAAAATTCGATGGTGGCTATGGCAATTCGGCGTGGGCGAATATTATGAAGGAGCACACCAGATTCTGGAACTTAGCCTGTATCTGATTCCTTCCCTCGCATCGCCACCACCACCAGTGCTCCTGATGCCACGGTATCCGATAGCAGAGTTCATTCAGGTAGTGAGTGTGAATGGGTGATTCCTTTAAATTTTTCTTCGAGAGGGGGGGCTGAGCGGGAGCGGGTCGATATGCTTAACTTTCTTGAGACTAACGCCGCTTCAAGGCTGTCCAGCGGTCCTAGAAGACTAGTCTGGCTTCCTTGCGTGGATCATTCTTTCTCCGTGCGTTCCATGTACAGGGCAATAACAAAAGACCAGTTTCCGGGCATCAGCAACTTTCCCGCCAAGGCTATTTGGAAGACGATCATCCCCTCAAAGATATGCACTTTGGTCTGGCTAGCCTACTTCGAGAAGAACCTTACCCTCGACATCATTAAGAAAAGAGGTCGGCATCTGGCTAATAGATGCGAACTCTGTAAAAAAGAAGAAGAGACAGCAGCGCATATTTTCATTCACTGTGAGTTCAGCAAGGAGGTTTGGAGGAGAAGTCAAGAGATATGTTCGAGTATTGAGTCACTAGCAGCTGATGTTCAATCTTCGATCAACAGATGGAAGTCTGACACGCCGGATAATTTTGATGATTGGGTCAACTACGGAGCACTCCATGCCATTCTCTGGCAGGTGTGGCTCGAGAGAAACAGGAGGATATTCCATGATAAACACCTCAACCCGATGTCTATCTCATTAAAAGAGATTAAGACGATGGTCGAGTGGCCCCTCGCTATGGGAAAAGTGACCAGAGACGAAGGCAGGGACTGGCTTGCTCGGATGCAGCATCACCACTCTTAAGCCACTCCCTTGCTCCGATTCTTCATTCCTTCTTTTCCTCTCATCCGATGTGCAGGAGTGGTCTAATTCACTTAGCACTCTCCTCTCTCCGCGGCCTTTTGTTTGTCCTTTCTCCCTTTCTATCCTTCTCTTTCTTTTTTCGATTTTTGATTTGCTAGTTGTCGCTGTGTTCTTGGTAGGTTCTGCTCTTGAGAACCTCACCAACCCAGACATTGTTTCCTTTATTTGCATTTTATTAATTCCATTCACCATTATAAAAAAAAAAAAAAACAACCACCCACTAACACTTATAATCCATACTCGCCTTCTATAAAAAAAAAAATAAAAAAAAATCCATACTCGCCTTGTACCGGTCCACTTCCTGAGATTTGAAGAGGGGCCATCCCCCCATTCCCCCCTCAACTCCCCTAGTTAATTATAAGGGAGATGGAAGGGCTACGTTTATGGGAATCTGGTGAAGTTAAGCGAACGAAAGCACCCTTTTATCCGCATCCAAATTAAATGGAGAGAGGCTTCGATCGGTTAGGAACTTAATCTAAGCCGATACAATTGACCTTGTTATCGTTCTGTTCCTGATTTTGTCATTAATTATCCATTGATTAAGTAGTATAGTAGTCCGTTGATATTCATTCCCTGCTCTTTATAAATGGGGACGTCCGATTCGAGAGATGCCAGAACTCTACAGAAAGAGATATATATGGGCGTCAAGCAACAGCGTGAAGATGAAGTTGAAGCTGGTGGTGGACAAGAAGAGGAACAGGGTGATCTACGCAGAGGCTCAAAAGGACTTCGTGGACCTGCTGTTCTACATCCTCTCCCTCCCTCTAAGCGCCGCTGGATTACAGCTCTGTTCTGGCTGCTTTCGAGGGCTTTGATCGGGCCGATGTGGTTGAGAAGGAGGTCGAATTCGGGTCCGAAGAAGCTCTGGCGTTGCTGGATGCTACCTTGCATTCCAAGGAACCTCTCACTAGCGTTTTCCTGAAACCTGAACCAGCACCTACCCCTCCCTCAGCAAAAAAAAAAAAAAGTGAATGAATTGAATGAGTCTTAACTATCTAATCTACTGCAGTTTGTTCTTTTAGTTTCTGGGTTTGTTTTGTTCCCTTACGGAAGTCCTCTGTTTCTTGTCTCTGTTCCCAGTGTTTTAATGTTGTTGTTCTGAATTCTGATTCACTGTTACGCATGGAGAGACTTGTTACCGTGATCAATTTCTTCTGCATCAAAATTTTCATTTAATACAGTCTGATTGTGTTTGTTTGGCCTAAATTCTTTATAGTTATGAGATGTTTTTTTTTTTGAAAGATATAGTTATGAGATGTTAATTGGTTGGGTTGATTGATTTTTTTTTTTTTTGTGATACTAGACTTACTTAAAAAAAAAAACAAAGACTGAGTTAATGAATTTTCAGATATGGATAGCATGGCGGCTTTGTTATTCGACCAAACATATTTTGTTGAGACGTATAAAATTAAACTTTGATTATATGAAGGAGCATTTCTGTTATGCTATATAGCATTGGTGTTTTAATGTACAACTTGAAGTTGTACCATAACATCAAATGTATAAGTTTAGGTTGTACCATAAAGAAATTTGTATCATTATGTTATGGTACAACTTTACAACTTGAAGTTGTACCAGCATATAAAAGTACAAGTTCAAATTGTACCATAAAAGAATAGATACAAAAAGAATAGGTACAATATGAAGTTGTACCATAACGTTAAAGGTACAATTTCAAGTTGTACCATAAAAGCAAAAACCTATAGAACCAACGCTAAATAGCATTGTAAAATTCACCTATACAAAGGGATAGATTGTGTATGGGAAATATTGGGCGAAAGAATCAGTCCCTGAACCGCGGGAGTATCTATATTCCCGCCGCACTATCGCAAGCCTACCGGTTGGGCTTGAATATGGGCCCAGGTTACCAACCTAGTGATAGGCCCAACAAAGAATGAATACGAACTCCAAACTGGGTTAATTGCATCTCATGTCACTTAAGTTTTGGTTTGGTTGCACGTTAACCATTTAGATTTGTTTAGTTGCAACTAAAACACTTAAGTTCAATTTTCGTTGCACCGTTATCTTTTCCATCCAAAAACTTAACGGCGGTATGAAAAATGTAATTTTACATGCCACATGCACATTCCAGCTCAGCTTTGGATTGCTAGCTCACAGAATCTCATACTAATTTAACAATGATAAAATTAAAAGCATTGAAAGAAAAGAAAAAATTCAAATCATTGTAGAAGTTAAAATAAATAGTGTCCAATGCCAAACTCCCCTGTTCCAATACACGAAAAACAGAGCATCAGCTTATCTCTCTCTACGTGAAGCCGAAGGAAGTCGAGCACAAGTTTCCCGATGGCTGCCGATCTTGCTGATGCGGAGGCGACCGAGGTTGATTACAAAGAAGCGGAGGAGGCGACTGTAAAGCTCCTGCGGTGGAGCAAGCTGTCTAAGCTTTCGCGATACCGGAACAGAAGCGGATTCCGCGTCAACGACGAGTAGTCTGTTACTCTCACCTTCCCGGGACTAATTCTGCGCGCAATTTAACATCGGACAGAAGCGACAACGGCGGTGGGGATGGCGTTAACCCCGACTGAAGTGGGGCTGATCCGTTGAACTATAGCGTTTACTTGACTGATCCGATGGACTCCACATTTATCATCTGAAGTCAAAGGTCAGTTAATACAGGAACCCTATTTTTGTTTCTGATCAACACCATGGATGCTTTATACGAATGAAGTGGAGCCATAATTACACTCTGTATTTCTAATCCTATTTATGGTGCTAGTAGTCCGGTTCTCTGTTTAGGGCAATTAGGGTGATGCCTTCTGCAAGAATCCCACAGGTCTACTGGGGTGATGCCTTCTGCAAGAAACTATTATTTTGAGTTTAATACAGAGAAACTAATTTTTGTTATTACAAATGTACTGCAACTTTCGATCTTTCTTCCCTCCATGTCAATCTATCCGAAGTACTTTACTTTTCCGACTGAGTTTTCATTTTCTGAGATTTTCTTTCAAGTTTAACCCAATTTTTGTTAGTCAACAATCCAAAGCTGAGTTGGAATGTCCATGTACCATGTAAAATTACTTTTTTATACCTGCCGTTAAGTTTTTGGATGGAAAAGATAACGGTGCAACGAAAATTGAACTTAAGTGTTTTAGTTGCAACTAAATAAATCTAAGTGGTTAACGTGCAACCAAACCACAACTTAGGTGGCATGACATGCAATTAACCCCTCCAAACTCGTGTACTTTCAGCCCAGGAGGAGGTTTGTACTTACTACTTGGCCAATGCCGCCGATGTCCCCCGGATGAATCCCGGTCGCCGGGAGACACCAAGTAGTCGCCGGTTAGGTGACCGGTCGGCGTTCGCAAGACCACCCATTTCCGGTCATGAATTAAGACGGCGTCGGGAATGGAAAGGGAAGCTAGCTAGCAAGCCCACCTATTTCCTCTTTTACTGTTATTTTATAGTTTTTCATCCAACTTTACCAAAATCCCTTCCTTCCCCTAACGAGCTCCCATTTTCGTTCAGTTCCGACCTCACACTCCAACTCTGTAGCAAATTCAGATCCATCTTTCTCCCAAAACGGACCTACTCCCTGGAAAAATTGATTAGCCGGTGAACCCTCTCTCTCCTGCCAAGAAGGTTTCCCTTGAGTCGCCGCCTCCCTCAACAGAATCGAATCTTCGCTCCTTTCTACTGCCGTTGATTCCAGCCCCTCGCTCCCTGCTAAGCTTCCTCTTGAATCGGCGACAGCCCCTCCCTTTGTTTGTTTCCTCTCCTCCTTTGTAGCACCATCACAGCTTGCTCATCGTTTTGGTTGGTTGGATAGCGATCTTGGCGCGGGTGAGTTTTGTTAGGGTTTTTCTTGTTCTTATCAATTGGGGCAAAAGGAAATCACTTGTGTTATGGGTATAAACTAGTAATCCACAGTGACTGTTTCATCTAAAGTATTGAGACAGACTTGGCTTCAAGAACCATCGCTGCGAAGATGAAGTTGAAGCTGGTGGTGGACAAGAAGAGGAACAAGGTGATCTTCGCGGAGGCCCAAAAGGACTTCGTCGACCTGCTGATCTACATCCTCTCCCTCCCTCTAAGCGCCGTGGTGAAGTACTTGGACGCTGCAGGCCCAAGCAGCCTCGTGAAGCTGCACAGCAGCGTCGAGTCGATGAGGGAGGCAGGGTACATAAAGCCTCCACACAGCGACACGGGTGCTCCGAGTTCCATCATCCCCAAGTTGTCGACCTATGTAATGTCCCCAGTTTGCCACGGCTGAATCCTGGGAAATTTAGGGCTCGTAGAAAGCTCTACAATTGCAAGAACGGTCACAGGCATGTAGTGGACAGGGTACACGAAAGCAATTGGTGCGACTACTGTAACGAGGGTATGGGCGAGGAAGTGGTGTTGGTTGAACGAGAAATGGAGGCTGACTACGTGAAGGAGATGGTCTCGTACATGGTCGCAGACGATCTCACGGTGTCGCCGCTGGATTACAACTCTGTCTTCGCTGCCATGGACGGCTTCGACCGAGCTGACGTGGTGGAGAAGGAGGTCCAAATTGGGTCTGACGAGGTGACTGATGTTTGCTTATTACAGTTTTGTTTCTTCTTTTTTTTTTTTTTTTAATGGAAGCTTTGTTTATGTGTTTGCAGCAGGCTCTCGCATTGCTGAATGCTGCCTTGCATTCCAAGGAACCTCTCACTAGCGTTTTCCTGAAAACTGAAGCAGCACCTACCCCCTCCCGTGAAAAGTGAATGATTGAACTCATCGTCGGCCGTCCATATTCTGCATGTTTCTGAGATTCAGTGAGTGAGTCTATGCAGTTTGCTTTTGGTTGGTTGTTTCATTGCCAATTATACTGCGAGTGGTTCGATTACTATTCACGAATATTAAAAGTCAAGGTTCTCATGTGACCAATTATTTACTGCTTCATGTTATGGATATTATGACGAAGATCCTTTTAATTTTCGTATGTGAAGATTGAAGAACACTCCTCTAATACATTAAAAAAAAAATGGTATTTACATGACAATTAGTCACTGCATATTTAGAAAGTATTTTTCTCCCGAACCAACACATTTAGAAAGTATTTTTCTCGGTATGAAAATTCCAAACCCCATTCAAGTGAATGTAAATCTGCAAATAACGACTTCCATGTCCTTCTTCCTCATCAAGTAATATGACCGCCATAGTCACTTCTAGAGTGACCTAACTCCACTCTATCGCAGCGCAGTATGGGGATAAGCCGCATTAAGATAGAAAACAAATGACCAATTAGTGTATTAGGTGGGCGGATTTCCCCCTCCCACAAACGCCCGATTGCGCACTGCACGCACGAGATAGAAATCTGCACGGTAATGGAACGAGACCCGGTTTGTTGCTTTCTGCTGTCCCAATCCCATTCGCCATTGCCACATTATCCATTAACCACTCTCACAAAATAATCCTATCTATCCACGTCTCCAGTCTCTGCCTTTCTTCATTCATGGCAGCCATTCCAATCCCTTCCCTTCAATCCTTCGACCAATAAATTTCAACTTCAATTCCCCTTTCCCTCCCAAATCCATTTCTTCCCCCAATTGGGCTCCTGTCAGATCGCCTTCCGAGCAACTGTACTCGTTCGTTGCTGTCGACGAACAGGGTGGAATCTCTCTGCACAATTAATGGCGGAAGGAGCATAGTTTGTACTTTGTCGCCATTCTCTCACTTTCCACTTTGTTGGGTTGTTCCCCTTCTTCTCCGCTTAGAAGAAAAAAAGAAAGAAAGAACAGGAATTTGGGGAGAAAAAGGGTGGAAATTGGGAAAAGGATGAGTTGCTCTGTTTATCTGGGTTGTTGTTGGGTACACACATCTTCGACCTTCTTCACCAGATCCAGATCCAAATCCCTGACTCCTCCGTCCTTCAAAACCCTCTCTTTCCCCATCGATTACTCGATTCCGCCGCGACGGCGGCGGCGCATCTCCTCCACCGCGTCCGCCGTTCTCACCAGGGAAGACAAGGAAAAACCGTCGTCCCTCCATCACGAGGAATCCGATCCGAAACCCACCTTCGATTTCAAGGCCTACATGGTGCAGAAGGCGAATTCGGTGAACCAGGCGCTCGACGCCTCCGTCCCGCTGAAAGAGCCGGCGAAAATCCACGACTCGATGCGGTACTCCCTCCTCGCCGGCGGGAAGCGGGTGCGGCCGATGCTCTGCCTCGCCGCCTGCGATTTGGTCGGGGGAAACGAATCCATGGCCATGCCCGCCGCCTGCGCCGTGGAGATGATCCACACCATGTCCCTAATCCACGACGATCTCCCCTGTATGGACAACGACGACCTCCGCAGAGGGAAAACCACCAACCACATCGTCTACGGTGAGAGCGTCGCCGTCCTCGCTGGGGACGCCCTCCTCGCCTTCGCATTCGAGCACATCGCCGTCGCCACGCCGGCGGACGTCCACCCGTCACGAATCGTGAGGGCGATTGGGGAATTGGCGAATGTGATTGGCGGGGAAGGTCTGGTTGCAGGCCAGGTGCTCGACATAAGTTCCGAGAGAAATTCCGAGGTGGGTCTGAAAGAGCTGGAGTTCATCCACGTCCACAAGACGGCCAAGCTGCTCGAGGGCTCGGTGGTTCTGGGCGCGATCCTCGGCGGCGGGAGCGACGGCGAGGTGGAGAGGCTGCGGCGGTACGCCAGAGACATCGGGCTGCTGTTTCAGGTGGTGGATGACATACTCGACGTGACGAAATCGTCGCAGGAGTTGGGGAAGACGGCAGGGAAGGACCTGGTGGCGGATAAGGTGACTTATCCGAAGCTGATGGGGGTCGAGAAATCGAGGGAGTTCGCGGAGAAGCTGATTGAGGAAGCTAAAGAGCAGCTGGTTGGGTTTGATCCGGTAAAGGCTGCGCCTTTGATTGCTCTGGCTAACTACATTGCTTATCGGCAGAATTGAGGAATCCAGATTGTGGGATTTTGTTGTAATGGAATTGAGAATCCAGATTTAGTAAAGAGCGATAGGGGGATTTTGGGGGAATTGCTGGCATTGTGTAGTGTTATGGAGATTGTTATATAGAGCAGTTGATCGAGTGAAACTTGGCTCATGGATTGTAGCAGATTTTAGTGCGGAGAGGAATGACAGCCAGATTATATGAATTATGCTTAGGTCCGTAGTGGATGTGGAAGGCTGCAGTTTTGGTTTGATGGGCTGGTGTTCTTTCTTGATGAAGTGATCTGGTTTGCTACAGATCATGACTCCATGAGTGGCAGATGCTGTGCTTGAGAAGCCATAGCTGGGTAAAAGGAAAGGAAACAAAACAATGGAGAAAGAAATAGAAACAGTGAAGGGAAAATAATATAGAACTGAAAAACAAAAGAGACGCCGTTGCCGGGGATCGAACCCGGGTCACCCGCGTGACAGGCGGGAATACTTACCACTATACTACAACGACATTGTTGTTCTCAATCTGCAGTTTTACTATTTTTCTGAGTGATCCAAGAGTAAATTTACTGCATCTAACTGGAGTCAGCTCTGCCGAAGGGCATATTAGTCATTTAGCCATTTGATTCCTCGTTCCATTCCAGGAAGCATCCGCATTGGATCTTTCCTTCATCATCATAAAATATGATAATATGGTCTTCCTATTCTATGTAATGCACGATTTAGTCCTTAAAGATTCATGAAGAAGCATATACGTGTTCAGCCTGTCTTTCCAAGATGAAAAAAAAGGACACTATAGATTCATACTTTGCAAAGGGAAGAGTTGCTAAATATATACAAAAATATTGGAGTTCCAAATAAGACTTGTTAGCATTCCGATTGACAAGAATAGCACATTATGGTGTCATTATATGTAGTGAAGTTTTCTATAAGAATATCACCATGACAAATTATCAATGTGAGAAATTAATTATTAATAACTCACACAAAAAATGGATCAATAATTTGAGCACCAAGCAGTTGGACAAACCGAATGGCGGTGGCCTTCATCAGCGGATTGATTGAGCGGGAACAATGCAACATAATACACGTGTAGGTTTAGCGAGCCACTCATATACTAGCCATTTTGAGGCTATGGATTAATGCTATAACTTCAGACTAATCCTGCACTGATGAATTTTTTTTTATGTAACAAATATCCTCCTCTTCTATGATATCGACCATAAAAGTAGAAGATGAAAGTGAGTGACTAATTCGCTTATGTATAGGGCATTTGTATCTCCTTCTAAATTGATATCCTTTTCATTGTTCTCGTATCTTTCATTATAATAAGCAGGTCATCCAAATATATTTCCCGTTAATTCAATAGCAGAACACCAATAATAATTAATAATAACAATCTTAAAACTCAACCTTGACACATAGACAAATTCGACATTTCCATTGAAGTCAAGAAACAACAAATAAAGACAAGACATGATCCAAGTTTTGGCACCGTCCTCATTGTCTAATTACTCTATTGTTAGTTCTTACATAACATCCGATCATCAAATACATATTAGATGGTTATACTATGGACCAACTCATATTACTCCAAAGATGCAAGACCCAATATTAATTTGTGCAAATTCTCAGGATACCAAATGTAATTAACCAAAAAAATCTGCAATTTGGATTCATTTAGACATTCTTTGGAAAGCTCTTTTGTCCCCATCAGACCAATAGCCACCAAACAAGTAATAATCTGAAAATAGAAATGGAAAAAGAGCAGATAGCGAGTGACCCAAAATTGAACGACGAACCAAGCGAAGCAAAAACGCGGATAGTTGGTTGATTTAAGATTTTAGGAACCATTTGTTAAACCTCCGTCGGTTGACTGACACCATGGTTTCCTCCTCTCTTCTCTAACAATTCTCCTTCTCTTTGCTTCCTTCCTCAAGTCTCTCACAAACGGTCAAACGCCATTCCTCCAGCCGCCTCAGTTCTTGCTTCTGGGCAAAATCCCTCCTTCCCATTTCACAAGATCGCAGCTTTTTGCATTAAGCTTTCTTGGTCAGCTTCAGATTCGGTCAATTTTCAGGTAACTCGAAGCTTCAATCAGCTTATTCACTTCCCAAAAGAAGTTCACTTTGGGGGAAATGTTCTTATAGGGTTTCAGTTCTGCATAATTGGTTTTCAATTTCTGAATGCTTTGGCTGTAAATTCAGTTTAGCTACTTCGATCTTTCAGTTTTTAGTGCAGTTGTGGAATTTAAGAATTGGTGGCTATACATTTGGGGGAAAGTCCTGAGCTTTCCTTTGGTAGCTTGTTCTTAGCTTTTCCAGCGGCGAGTAAAGCATCTGATTTTCAACTTATGTGGTTCGTTTCACCTTTCATTTGGATATGATGGGAGGGCAATGTAGTAAGGGCGCAAAACTGTTGAAGACCCCTCACCATCATCAAGTAGCGGTAGAAAAGCCATTGAACCTGCACCTTCAGACTCCACCATGAACCGTAATCACCACATGTCAGCAGCATTGACCTCTTACGAAGACGCCTGCAAAACCGATCCAGAACTGCAGGCATTCGATGCAACCCTCCATGAGAAAACTAATCGAGTCATCAACAGCCTCGCCACAACCGTCGAGGTCAGATCCTTATCCTTTGATTCACTCAAAGAGGTCACCAGCTGCCTCCTTGACATGAACCAGGAGGTAGTTAAAGTCATACTCGACTGCAAGCGAGATGTGTGGAAGGATGATGACTTGTTCGAATTGGTAGAGGAATACTTCGACAACAGCATCAAGACCATGGACTTCTGTGCGGTCCTCGAGAACTGCCTCAAGCGAGCTCGTAACAGCCAGCTTCTCATCCACGTAGCAGTCAACCAGTTCGAGGAAGAATGGCCTTTGCAAGTAGGGTTTGCGAAGACGTTGGACGAGCTGAAGATGTTTAAAGATGCAGAGAATCCATTCACCGAAGAGTTTTTCAACCTGTTTCAGCTGGTTTACAGGCAGCAGATTTCAATGCTCGAGAAGCTGCAGCGCAGGAAGTCGAAGCTCGATAAGAAGATCAAGTCGATGAAGAAATGGAGGATGGTGACCAACGTGTTGTTCGTCTCTGCATTTGTCTCGGTGCTTGTTTTCTCGGTGGTGGCAGCTGCTATCGCTGCACCGCCTGTCATCACAGCATTAGCTGGAGCTTTAGCTGTTCCGATTGGTTCAATTGGGAAGTGGTGCAATAATCTGTGGAACAAGTATATGCAGGCATTGAAAGGGCAGAAGGAGTTGGTTAGTTTCATGCAGGTGGGGACTTTCATTACGATTAAAGACATGGATACTATTAGGGTGCTTGTGGGGAAATTGGAAGTTGAGATAGAGGGTTTGGTGCAGAACACGGAGTTCGCTTTGCAGGATGAAGGAGGAGTTGCTGTGAAGCTTGTGATCGATGAGATCAAGAAAAAGCTAGCGATGTTTAACGAGACCATTGATGCTTTAGGGGAGCATACGCATAAGTGTAGCCGGGATATTAGCCAGGCCAGGACTGTTATCTTGCAGAGGATTATCAGGTATCCTGGACAATGATGATCATTGGTGAAAGATTGTCTCTTTCAGTTGATAGAGATCAAATTAACTTGCAACCAAGCCATCTATTTACCATATAGATAGATATCTCCTACTGTTGTTCTTAATGATGCATCTCCTCTAATGCAGGAGGCTTTCTTTTCATGAAAAGAAGCTGTTGGGTTCTTTCTTTGATGTCTTCTACCCTTTTAACATGAGTTGTATTGGAGAGTTATGATACTTTGAGTGATTTTGATTTGATTCATGTATTGCTTGAGTGTGATTGTTGAAGCTCAATATAATGCAGTTACCTATTTGTCAATGATGAAGAGGATGCTGGTTCAACTTTTTTCTTGCTTTTTCTGTAAAAAATTTTCCATCTTACCCACAATTGTATCAAAATTTTGGTCTGGGCCGAGCAGGACTGCTGGGCCAATCTCGGCCCACATGAAAGCCCTCTTAAACTCCGCCCGCTAGATAGTCGCGCGACTTCTCTTCATTGCTTTACTTCTCAGTTTTCCCCTCCCGCCATCAGGCTCTCCACCGGCCACCGGCCACCGGCCGTTAACACAAAAGCCATCAACGATACAGAATTCCGTGTTGCAAGAAAACAGGAATCTTTCATATTCAGCGAAGCGCGATAACCCATATGTTTCGCCCCAATGGGTTCAAGCGATTTCCCGTCAAGCACATGCCTTTCTTCATATTCACCCATTCCATCCACAGCCACCAATCGGCTCGCCGGAAGCCGATCAAACGCTTCACCAGAGCTTCCAGAAGGCCTCCAAAGTCCTCGCCGACATATATGCGAAGCATCATCACCAACATATACGGAATCCTGAAGTATTCAGATTGGGAGGCCGCGCAAGAGCAGCTGTCCAACCTCAGAATCAAATGGGACTCGTACACGGTGAACCGGGTTCTCAAGACCCACCCGCCAATGGAGAAAGCCTGGCTCTTTTTCAACTGGGCGGCCTCGGAGCTGCGAGGGTTCAAGCACGACCAGTTTACCTACACGACGATGCTCGACATTTTTGGGGAAGCTGGGAGGATGGAATCCGTCCGCTACGTGTTCGATAAAATGCGTGAACGAGAGATTGAGATTGATGCGGCGACTTACACTTCGGTTATGCATTGGGTTTCCAAGTCCGGTGATGTGGATGGGGCGGTGAGGATTTGGGAGGAGATGAACGAACAAGGGTGTCGGCCTACGGTGGTTTCGTATACTGCGTTTATGAAGATTCTATTTGATAGTGGGAGGGTGAAGGAGGCGACAAATGTGTATAGAGAGATGCTTGAGGTTGGAATTACTCCCAATTGTCATACGTATACTGTGCTAATGGAGCAGCTAGTTGTTGCTGGTAAGTTGAATTGCGAAGAAAAGACTGGAACGTTATGGTGATTTGTTGACTATTTCGAGCTTTTGTAGATTGTACGCTTTCTGAGACTCTTCTCTATGATGGGTTTTTAGGCAAGTACCAAGAGGCTCTTAACATTTTCAACACAATGCAAGAAGCGGGAGTGCAGCCGGACAAAGCCGCATGCACCATTTTGATTCAGAAATGTTGTGCAAAGGGAGAGACCAAGACAATGATTCCTGTTCTTAATTATATGAAAGAGAATCGAATCGTGCTTCGGTACTCTGTGTTCCTGGAAGCATCGAAGGCTCTACAAGTTGCTGGCGAGAGCGACGCCCTCCTTAGGCAAGTCAATCCTCATTGCTTTGATGAATCGTCTGTTTCCACAAATTCTGCAAATGACCTTATAGATAGTGGCCTCGTTCAGATTCTCTTGATGAAGAAAAGTCTCATTGCAATAGATCGGTTACTTACTTATATGATAGATAAGAACGTGTTGTTGGATGGTTGGACTGTCTCATACATGGTCGAGAAGAACTGCGAACTTGGCAGACTGGATGGTGCTTTAGTGGGATTTGAATACAGCAGGAAAATGGGAGTGGGACTTGAAAGAGCAGCATATCTTGGCTTAACCGGAACGGTGATGAGATCGAATATGTTCGATAAGGTACTCGAGATTGTCAGAGAAATGATCAACTCGGGACACTCTCTCGGAATCTATCTAAGTTCTGTTTTCATATACAGGCTTGGGAAAGCTAGAAGACCCACCTGTGCTGCGAAGTTGTTTCGTTTGTTGCCTAATGACGAGATTTGCACTGCTACTTACACTGCTCTCATTAGTGTACACTTCTCTGCTGGTACTGCAGAGAAGGCGCTCGAGACTTTTGAGGCGATGAGGAAGAGAGGCATTCTGCCATCATTAGGAACGTACAGAATTCTGTTGGCGGGTCTTGAGAAGTTGGGTAGAGCAAGTGAAGTAGAAGTTTACACGAGGGAAAAGAATAGCCTATTGAGTCAGGGTGATCGTCGGGATAAGGTTCCTCTTGAGCAAAAGATTTGTGACATTCTGTTTGCTGGGGATTCGGTGACTTGATTCTATGTGCTGGAAAGTTGCCTCGCGACATCAGAATGCTTCTGCAGAACTCAACGCTTATAAGCGGGGATAGTTGGAGAATGAACTTGTTGCTCTTGATTGTCTTGTTCCCAATCCTCAACACGCAGGGATTTGTTGCAGCTGATATTTAGTTATCAGTATTTGAAACTGCAGTATCTGCCAAAGGGAGTACAGATGTGTTCATTGCTATCCAGGAAGCCGAATTTGAAATCTCTGACTGAGGGGAAGGTCAGCTGGATTGACCTAATTGGTGAAGTGTTGTCCTGATCTAATATGATCCAGCTGTTGGTTACCACAACATTCCCCTCCTGCTTTCGCATTTCATTCTCTCTAATCCAGATATGATCAGGATTATGCTCAACTGCTTGCTCACTGCAACATCATTCCTTGTTGATGAGGTAATCGATCTGTTCTGTACTTCTGTTTAGAGCTTAGAGGATGTAACGACCCCAGAATAGTCTTTTCTCCTCGTAAGGGTCTTCTTTTTATTTATCTTCACACCATGACACCATTGCACCTAACAAAGTTCCAACTTTGTCAACTGTTTCAAGTGCATGGGATGAGGAATAATATACCCAATTAGACAATTCTGCAAGCATCAGAAATGGATCGCAATGGGATGCTACTGCTGGCTAGGCTACCTACCCACATCCTTGTGACCAATTTCATTTGTTAACTATTATAATCACCGATTAATCAAACGAAAGTTCCTGCACAAATGGTTGCTTGTTTGCTGGGACAAATTCAATCGATTCCAGCCACTCAATCTACGCAATTATGCATTGCATAATTCAATTAAATTAAGGCCAAGCCAAGCCAGCACATGGTGCTGCTAGGTCATGTTCTGTTCTCCCAGATGAATTTTGCTGACTCATTTCTTAGTGACTGTTGTCCTAGTGTACATTATTAGGTTGTATTTTAAGGTTAATCAAACATGGGTTAATAGATTATGGGAATGTAAGAGGTCATTTGGAGAATAGGAGTTTAAATCTATAGATTGTCAACAATCTAAAGATTCTTACTTTTCGAATTGTTGAAGACAGATTCTAAAATGTTTATTGTTTGATAACTGTGATTGTTAATATTCAATAAAAATAAAAAAATTTAATTTTATATTAAATAACATGTTTATCCTTAATAAAAAATTAGATAGTTTGAGAAATATTTAAAACTTTATTGATAAATATATTTAATATGGTAAATAAATTCCCTATGTTTGGCCCGGCTTTTAGAAGTGTTTTTCGGCTTCAAAAGCCGAAGCAGGGTCAAACACCTCTAAAAGCTCGGCTTTTGAAAAGCCGAAAAGCGCTTTTGTATAACATAAAAGCAGAAGCTCCGATTTGGAGCTTCTGCGAAAAGCTGTTTTGAAAATACAGGATTATCCTTACCATATTTTAATTTAATTTCATAAAATATAATTTTCCCTCATTTATATCATTTTAAAAATAAAATAAATTATAAAATCATATTATTTAATATAAAAGAAATCTAACAAGTAGGGATGGCAATGGGTAGGGTCGGGTGCGGGTTTACCCTATACCAACTCCTAACCCGCCGGGTAGAGCTTTCTAAAATACCCGACCAAATAACCACCGGGTATGAAAATTATATAACCATACCCTACACACCGGGTAACCATGGGTACGAATCCTAAACTACGAACTTATACACATATATGCACATACATACTGTTGTCCATTAAAAATTCTCAATACTTCTTTATAAAAAAAAATTCTCAATACTTGTAACTGTTCGAGCGTCAACAATCTACACAAATAAAAATAGCAAACACATAATAATTGTTTTTGCTTCTACAATCCACACAAACATAATAATCGTCTACATCTTCATCATCAATAATGGTAGATAAACTCAATTTCTTAAGCTAATCTAAATTTCTCAAGGGAAATTGACCCTTTGGTTAGCGGGCGGGTATAAACGGAGCGGGTATTATCGATTACCATACCCGTACCCTACCCTTTATTTTGAAACCGGGTATTACCCGTACCCGTCCCTTAACCCGTCAAAATCTCAACAAGTTATATATTCTTTCCTTGATAATTGTTGGTACAAATAACATTCATTCGATAGCCACACCATTGTTTCTAATAACACTTTTAAGAGTTTGAGCGAAAGGGTTATGTACTATTCGGTCCTTGTGAATCACTCAAAATAGATGGTGGATCAACAACGATAATTGCTGAAATAAAAACACAAAGAATAACCAGAAAAAGATGCAAACAAGTCTATCACCGAGGGTTTTGGTGCTACGCTCTTGGTATCATTTTTTCTTCTTCTTCGGTTGAGTTACCTTTTCCTTGGATTAATCATTCGACTTTGATACCATCTATCGAGGGCAAGACGCTTAACATTTGTATGATTGTATCATATCTGTCTGCTTTTGTTGACAACCACACGAATTTGTTCTTAAAATCTTTCTAAAATCTCTCGTACTAAATGAAGTTAGATCAACATTATTTACAAATACAATTTTTCCAAAGATCACACACATACATCTAATTGAAGATGGAAAGAGATGTGATTGGTTCTAGCGCACGTATTAACTTATTCAATAGTGATTTGATAAGCCGATAACGCTTACTTCAAAATCACCCAAGTAAATAGTAAATTCATTATATAGATTTGATAATGAGCCGATAAAGCTTAAGTGCGTCACACCAGACAATTAAAACGTAACACTATTCCCAATCAGATGTGGCGACACGTTTGGGTGAACTCCAAACTTGAAGAACAAAAGTATTCATTCCATGCAGCCATGAACATTCTCCAACCCTGCACCCTACCAAATTACGATCGCTCGACACGCTGACATCTGTCCAATCAGATATTCAGATTCAACGTCACCCACTTTGGTTCGAGCCGGACCGTCACTCGACCCGGTCAGACCTATGCCCATCGCCCAACCACTTGCCGGCCGTTGATTACTTTAACTTTTTTTTTTTTTTCCTGTTTGAATCATAAATTAATGAAATTAATTGGGTCATTATATCCCAATAGACGGTGACGAGGGCTTCCAACTAAAAGTTAAAAAATGATAAACTAAAATAAGCCCCGCCAGCCACGTGTACGGTGATCAGCGTTGCCGGGACGAAGGATTTTTGTTATCGTGAGTGGGCCCACCATCCCCAACAGCCCACTTTATCCGATTTTCTCGCGACCCGAGACGAGAATATTTCCCAGGACTGGGGGCAAGTACGGGAAAAAAGAATATGCCTACCACTTGCCAGCTCAACACGACGCGAGACGCTCAAAAAAAGGAATTGGAAATTCCAAAATCTCGCGGTTGTAAATTCTGAAAATCTCGTAGTCGTCGTCATCGTTGGGACACCTATATTAAGGACGGGAGATCGGCAGCAATTTCTCATCCATTCATTCATCTTCGTGGGCCTTTCACGGAGAGAGAGAGAGAGAGGAAGAAGAAGAAGAAGAATAAGCCATTGCAGTTTCCAGCGATTCTGAAATCCCTAGTTCAAAATAATGGCGTTCACGAAAACCCTAGCTGAGCGCCTCTTCAAAATCTCCAGAATCTCGACGAATCAGTCCCTGACCAACTGCCGGATCTCGTCCTCCGCCACCGCCCGCAGCCGGATTCCTCAGAGCAAGCCCAAATTTGCTCCTGATCCCGGAGATAATGCCGGGTTCCGCCGATTGTTCCACCGGAAGGCGGCGGCTGGGACGGCGGAGCGTCCGTTGGCCAAACCGTTCCAGGTCGGCGCGGGGGGAAACCTGATGGAGAAGCTCAGGGTGTTCGACATTGTCCGAGATAGAGTCCGGTTGGACGGACTCGTCCCTCCCCCGCCGGTGGTAAATGGATCGGAGGAACCTACCACGGCGGCCAAGGAGGAGCTGACGGTAGACGACGCGAAGAAGCTCCTCCGAGTGGCGCGATTGGAGATGGTGAAATCGAAGCTGCGAGACGCGGAAAGAAACTGGATGCCGCGATCGGAGTTCGTTCGGATCTGCGGTGAAGTTTGTTCGGATCCGGATGAGACGAATCGGGTCGCCCGGGCGCTCGACGAGTCCGGCACCGTTATCGTCTTGGGAGATGCAGTGTTCCTAAAACCGAAACAGGTAAAAACAAAATTAAACCCCTTTGATTCATTCTGAAGCGTCTCATCATTCTGATTAACGAATAAGTAAATGCAATTCAATACCATCTTTTCGTTTTTGCTCACTAGATTTGTTTTACAGATGTAAAACAATTTACCACCATTCATTGCCTTGGTCCTTCTCTGAGAGTTGGATCCAAAGTAACAACCAGATAATGAACAGCCGTTGTTAATACACTTTTCGTCTTCTTCTTGGCCAATTTGTTTGTTTCTTTGCTTGAAAAATACCGAAAACTGATATGTTTTCTCTATGTATTTTGTGTGTGTGTTTTTTTGTTTCAACAGGCGAGAAGGAACCCACCCCATAGCTCTGTCTCTCTGTTTCAACAGTGACAAAGATTGATTCTTTTTTCGTCTGATTAATATGGTCCTACTAAGACTTTGATTGGGTTCCAACTTATGAATCCAACCAAGCCTTACTATCACCGTTTTGGATCAACTAAGTGCCTCAAAACCTTTTGGGGTGGGGGATGAAAGGGTTGAAAGTTAAAACAAGTTCTGTTATCTGTGGGAAACAGGGGAATATTTGGGGAGGGTTATGATTTGGGGAAGATATATAGAATTGGATCGTATGGTACAATCTAGCAAAGTTAGCAACCAATTGGGTCCTTAGTAGATTAGGATTTGGTGTGGATAATAGGGATTGAAATATATGATATGCATAGGCTAGGGTTTGAGAGATTGGAAAAGAAAAAACAGAGTATTATTATTTAGAGACTAGTGGTCTAGTGGATGTCTGTTGTTATCCATTTGAATTGTTGCAGAAAAGAACAAGAGGGGATGAGCTAAGATTTGATCTTAGAACAACAAACATAGAAAAAGAAGGAATTAGGAGGAGTTGATGTCCAATTAGGATAACAGTTTATCCATATGCTTTATTATTCTTTATTTCCAGCACTCTTTCCATGCCTGCTTGGCTCTTATCTTGGTGGGCTTCAGCATAAAAGCTGATATAACAATTGGTTATGCTTGTTTTCCTCTTTCAATTGCTTTTCTAATCTTCATTTCAAGACACCATTGGTTAGTCATTTATACATTCATCACTTGTTCTTCATAAAAGAAAGAGCAAATGCAGCCTTAAAAAGAAAGAGACATTGTCAAGATGCTCATGCTGATATCAAATGATGATACATGGATGCAGCAAGCCTTTACCCCAACCAAATGGGAATTTTCTTTTGTTTGTGATCCATTACAGGTAGTGAAAGCCATTGGAGGCCTAATCCCATTCCCAGCAACAAACCCAAACGACCCAAGGAAGAAGGAGCTGGACCACTTGGAGCAGCAGAAAGCCCTGATCGACCAGAAAGCCATCGCCCGAGTAAGGCGAGAGCTCTGGGGCGGTCTGGGATACCTAGTGATCCAAACCGCCGCCTTCATGAGGCTCACATTCTGGGAGCTCTCGTGGGACGTCATGGAGCCCATCTGCTTCTACGTCACCTCAGTGTACGTCATGGCTGGCTACACGTTCTTCCTTAGGACCTCGAGGGAGCCCACGTTTGAAGGGTTCTTCCAGAGCAGGTTCCTCGCCAAGCAGAGGAAGCTGATGAAGGCTCAGAAGTTCGATCTCGAGAGGTACAACGAGCTACGAAAGATTTGTTACCCCTTCACCAACGCAGAAGAGGTGGGAAGTCCTGGTCTCTTGTTCTCGAGCAGCAGTCGTTCTGAGTTTGATGGCAAAGTCGGGAAGGTTTGTTGATCTCGAAAGGGCGGGTATGTGGTCTGTGTTTTTTTTTTTTTTTTTAATAATTAACAACAAAAGGAGAAGAAAGAAGAAGAACTAACAGCTATTACTGTTATGAAACAGAATGAAACCAGAATCTTGTGACGACCCATAATCCATTCTCTTCCCACCCTTTTCAAACCAACCCTCTACCTGAACTGACCCTTTAGAATGTAGCTTGCGGGAAACCCTGTAACAAAGTGGAGAGTGTTTTTTTTCTTCTTGTTATTAATGGAAATATATGATCAGAAGCAAAGCTTTCTTTGATGGGAAATATCATTTTCAGACGATCTGTGGTCTTTCATTTCTCTTCTTGTTTGCGTGTGGAGAATGTATGTGTCTACTTTGATTGGGCATCCGGACAAGAAACTGCAAATGCTTTCATCTCTGCTATTGGACAGAGTAGTTGTTCCTAACAACTTGGAAAAGTTTAGGACTTCAGAAAAGCTGGAGTCATTGAAATGGAGGGGTTCTTATTGAGTCAATCATCTTGCCGTTTTCCTTTCCTCTTAACCTTCCAACGCTTTTGACGATAGAAGTATGAACACTTGAGTTATAGAGAAACCAGAGAATCGAACCATCAACTTGTGATTGAAAATCACAATCATCTTTATCTCCTTACTGGTTTTTCCCCCCCTTTTGTTTTGCTTAGCGCTATATGATTGATTGTTATGGACAACTGGTATGCATGTAGACAAAAAGCCAGCTTTGTACAAACCTTTTGCCTGTCCGCACTCCTTTCTTTCCCCTGTTAATTACACTTTTACTTGAAAGTTGAAAGCATATCCCTTTCCTATTACATATTGCAGCCTGTGTAGTAGTCGTAGATGGTGGATGAAGTATTGTGGTTGGTGTGCTACAGCTTTCATATTAGATGTGATTATTAATTCCTGTCAAATAAATGTGCGATGTTTGTATTTGACTAATCAGATACATGTGCCTTGAGAGGATAACATTGAGTAGACATCAACATATAATATACTAATTTGAAGTTTAACGGAATCATGGTAGTAGCTGTAGCAGAAATCAGTGGTAGGGTGTTCCGATTCTCATAAATTTTCAGTGAAAGTTGTGTTTTCCTTCTCTATTAGATGTAGTCATTATAGTAACAATCTTATCTGTCACCATTAACCATTATATTATATTCATATTGAGTTGATGTGTGAAGCAATTAGCTGGAATAGCTCAGTTGGTTAGAGCGTGTGGCTGTTAACCACAAGGTCGGAGGTTCAAGCCCTCCTTCTAGCGATTATAATATAATTTTATTATTTAAGAACTTTTTTTTACAATTACAAACTTTATGTTACTGATTTTGTTACCGACACGTGAACGAATTGCGAAATGGATGGATAAGAATGTGGTATTTTAGTAGATATATTTGATAACAAATTATCTTAATTCCTAAAGTCGTGTACACGGTCTTATGTGTTTTGCGGCGGTCTTTCCTTGTCTGATAGAGGGTAGCCATTGTAATTGTCGTAAGGTTAGAGAGAAACTCGATGAATCCGATACTACAATATAGTTCCGACTTTCATGAATTCAACCCGCTCATCGAGTCTGTCACAACAAATTATTTTAGTAGATATATTTGATAACAAATTATCTTAATTCCTAAAGTCGTGTACACGGTCTTATGTGTCTTGCGGCGGTCTTTCCTTGTCTGATAGAGGGTAGCCATTGTAATTGTCGTAAGGTTAGAGAGAAACTCGATGAATCCGATACTACAATACAATTCTGACTTTCATGAATTCAACCCGCTCATCGAGTCTGTCACAACTTGCTCCAATATTTAATATATCAAAACTACACTTTCTGTTTAAGACTCGATTCTTTTGTTGATCATGGTCCGCACTTTTAGAATTGGTTTATATGAAACCATCTGTCTTGGTAGCAATTGAAGGGCATATAACAAAATGGTATGGTTCAACTAGTTAGTTCCTTTTAACTAGTTAGTTATTGTATTAACAGAATATTAGTTGTTAATCATGTACATTTTTATTGTGATAGATGATATTATATGCGCTCTGTGTCCAAGAGCCCCTTTGCGGGGCCCTCCAACTTCATCTTCTCATTGAATTCCATACGATATCAGAATCTTGTCCCGTGAATTAAGGTTTTCCTTATCTTATACCCACGTTCTTTCTTCTCTAGAAAAATCCAATCGGCACGGCCGAATCTTAAGATACCGGAGGTTATACATCTTCTATGATTTCTTCTTCGGCATCCTTTTCCACCACAAACGTACCGAATGCTCTTCCAAAAAATCCAGTTGCCATGACCCTTGATATCTACTAACTGAACAACTACTAATACTATCATTAAATGTTTATAATACAAATCCTAACATCATGAACGACTAACATAATAGTAATATCAACAATAGAACAAGAAAACCCTAAATCAGTGGTAGAGCCACCCTATGCCCAGGGGAGGCTATAACCCCACTCAACTAGCAAAATCACGTAAATTTACATGTAATTTGGTTAAAATTTTGAGAAATATAGTAATTGGTAAGGCTTTAGCTCTTCTTGTGAATTTGAATTCTCTAATCGTAGATTTTTAGCCCCCGCTCGTTTGGATTTCTAGCTCCGCCACTGCCCTAAATCACTCTTATCCAAAACCCCGTCCGCCAACATTAGGAAAGGCCATATACAATTATGAATTATCTTATAAATTGCTAATCTAGGCAAATTGCATGTGTTATCCAAATGCTACAAACAAAAGCAGTTTTTTTTTTTTATCGAGACAACTTGTTGTATTTAATGGCAATTTCTTATTTGTGACAACATAACCAGAGCATCTTCCAAAATTAAGACAGCCTAATTGAATCACCAACCCACTCATCAATAAGGTTTGCTACTAAAATATTTACAAGTAGACGGGAAAAGGGAACAGAGCATTGGCTGGCAACCTGCTTCACAACACCATCGTCGAGATTCAACGTCTTCTAACTCTGTATTTGTGAGGTTAATGCCTGAGCATGTTTTAAGAGAAGCTAATATTGTAGCGTTCGTACGTCATTCCTTAAGACGTGTATCCATTTTCATATATGATGATGATCAGGGTCCGGGATTTGTCACATTCCCAATTTTGTCGATCGAATTTGTTGTTGTCTGTAAAGGTGCCAACTTGCTCCAAACCCCATTATCCAATTCATCCAATTTCTGCAGCAGCCGGTCCCGGTCGCCATTGAATAATGAATCAATGTAGACTTCAGACGACTTCAGAGTGCAGAGATCTTACCTGGAAAAAGAACCCTCCATCACAATTCCTTCCACAGTTCCACCTATATATAGATCAAGAAAGCCACTGTCCATCTCATTCCAAATCAGATCAAAGCAACCCTCCACACTGAAAATGTCGCCAGCCATCTTACTCTGCATCTGCTTGCTGTCCCTCTCCACCTTCCCTTCCGCTCCCCAAGCCACCGTCCCTCCCTCCGACCGATTCACCTTCAGCAACGATGGCGATTTCGGCGACTACATAGTCGAATACCGCGCGAACTACCGCGTCTCCTCCATCGCCGCCATCCCATTCGAGCTCTGCTTCTACAACACCACTCCAGGGCAGTACACCCTGGCCCTGCGCATGGGCACCGTGAGGTCGGAGGCGCTGATGCGGTGGGTTTGGGAGGCAAATCGCGGCAACCCGGTCGGCGAAAACGCCACCTTCTCCCTCGGCGCAAATGGGAACCTCGTCCTTGCACATTCCGACGGCCGAATCGCCTGGCAATCCAACACTGCCAACAAGGGCGTAGTTGGGTTCCAGCTGCTCAACAATGGCAACATGGTGCTGAAAAATTCCAAGGGCGGATTCGTCTGGCAGAGCTTCGATTCACCCACGGACACCCTCTTGGTGGGGCAGTCGCTCCGGGCCGGAGCCGCATCCAAACTGATCAGCCGAGCATCGGTTGAAGAGAACAAGAACGGTGCCTACAGTTTGGTTCTGGAGCCCAAGGACTTGGCCATGTATTTCACTGGGGCAAATGGTCGAACACCTTATCGGTACTTCTCATTCAGCGGGGCAGGCCGCCTCTTCCTCCCGGACAACACCACCACACTCAACACCACTTTCAACGCGAACCTGGATCTCGAGACCAAAGTCACCGACTCCACCGCCGGCGGCGGTGGCACTTTCTTCAAAAACCCGCGGTTCAACACCACTCTGTCGTACCTCCGCCTGGAAATCGACGGCAATTTGAGGATCCACACCTTCATAATCAGCACCGATTCCGACGGGTTCGAGACCCAGCTGTGGGAAATCGCGGTGACCGTGTTCTCCGAAGACGATCCGTGGGCTCTGGAGACGAAATGCCAGCTGCCGGGGCGGTGCGGGGAGTTCGGCGTCTGCGAGAACAGCCAGTGCGTCGGCTGCCCGACTCCGACCGGGCTGCTGGGTTGGAGCAGCGGTTGCACGGCGCCGAAGCTGAGCGACTGCGGCGGCAAGAAGAAGAAGGATTTCAAGTACTTCGAGCTGAAGGGGGTGGATCACTTTGTGGTGAAGTATACGAGAGGCGACGCGCCGGTGAAGCAGCAGTCGTGCGCCGACAAGTGCAGCAAGGATTGCCGGTGCTTGGGCTATTTCTACCACACTGATGCGTCGCGGTGCTGGATTGTTGAGGAGCTGAAGACGATGAGCAGAGTGGCGAATTCGACCCATCTGGCTTATATTAAGACCTCGCTGTAGTGGAATTTCCTTCGCTGATGGCTCGTTTTGTTTTTTTTTTTACCCTTTTGATTTTGTGCCAAAAATGGAATAAAGTTATCTTTTGGGATTTCATTCGACCGGCTTAACAAATTCAGCATTTCAGTTAAACAGGTTGGTGGGTGGTACTGGTAGGGGGTGTTCAAACGGATTGGATACCGTGGTAACCATATTAATCGGTAGCATTCAGTTAATTTGATTTGGTTAATTTGGATAATTGCTATTCATGTATTAGCTTTTATATATTTTACAATAAGAGTGTTGGGATCACACAAGAGTGTAGATTATATATTTTACAATACTCGCTATTCATGTATTAGCTTTTAGAGTTTTCGTCGATACATGTAAACTAATGAGAAATTAAATTACCTATTTTTTCATGGGTGATTTCTTAGATTCTGATTTCTTAACATGATATTAAAGTTTGGTTCTCTGACTAATTAACAATACTGAGTGGAAACTATTCAAGCCAGCAATGGGAAGGTTTGTCTCCCAAGGCAGAGTTGGCATCCCCCTTGCATGGTTCTCATCAGGCAAATACTCAGACCATCATGGCCATTCTGCACCATTCGCCACTTCGTATCGAGGAT